GCAATGTCTGAAATATTGTCAATCCAAGTTCCATCTTCCTTTTTAATCCTTGTGATGGTCAACTTCTTCCTTTTAGAGTTGATCACAGAATGAAAAAAATTTGTATTGTTATCACCATCAGAGAACCATTTCATACCAGACTTTTGCCTCCAATAAGATTCTTCCTTCTTGATATGCATAATGAACTGAGCATTAACCCTGTTAAGCTCTATTCGATTGTTATCAGAATTGTCATTAAGACATTTATCTTCAAGTTCTTCAATCCTTCTGTGAAATTCTTTGGTCTTGTCAAAGATATTTCCAATATATGCTTAGACCAGTAAGAAAGCTTTTTGCAAGTGTTTTTAAGCTTTAGATGGAAACTCCACATAGAACTCCCATCCACTTTTATATTCCATGCATCCTGAACAACTTGCATAAAATCATCTTGAGTAGTCCAAAAGTCAAGAAACTTGAAGTACCTAACAGGATTAACTTGAGGGTTAGACATAGTAATCAAGAGAGGAGCATGATCAGAGCCTGTTCTTACTAAATGTGATATAGTAGTATTCATGAATTTATTGGTCCACTCATTATTCACCAAACCTCTATCCAACCTTGCCCAAATTCTTTTTTTAGGTTCCCATCCGTTGCACCATGTAAAAGGGGCGCCATTAAAGCCTAGATCAGTCAAACCACAACCACCAATACAATCAATGAAAGGCATACTTCTGGAAATATTGTGAGGTCTACCACCTCTCTTTTCAGTAGGGTCTGTAATAGAATTAAAGTCACCACCAATCAGCCATGGTGTATTAATGCTATCAGAGAGCCTTTGAAGGTTATCCCACAAAGGTTGTCTTAAATGGTCAGTACATTTAGCATAAACCAGGGTGAGGTGAATAATTTCTCCAAAATATTTGATAGAAAAAGTAACTTGTTGTTCCATATCCTCAATGATATTACAACTAATATGACTGTCGCAGAAAAGCCAAATTTTATTGGTACAATTTGCAAAAGCAAATTCAAAACTGAGACGTCTTTTGAACTTGTCTAAATTTTTTTTGTTGCTGAAAGGCTCCATAATGCCAATTACTTGAAGATTATGCATCCTTTTGAGTTGTTTCAATCTGTCAAAGGCACCCTTAGATGTGATGCCTCTAATGTTCCATATAAGAGACTCAATCATTAAAAGGTTGGACTTAAGTTATTTTGATCCTGTGAATAACTCACAGTGTATTTGTTGTTGATTCCTTTGCCTCTTCTGCTAGTTCTTGTGGTCATACCTCCCCTAGAGTGATAGGACCCTCTAGGTGAGAGATTATGTTTTTCAGTTATATCCCCAAAGGCTTGAACCATTTCAGCAAGTGGAGGAAGTTGTTGATTGAATGTTTCCATCAAAGTATCCGCCAAGTCATCACTTGTGGCAGATTTTTCGTCCATGCTAGCATAATCATTCTCAGAGGTGGAGTTGTTTTCAGTCTCATACTCGGAAACTGAACCATCTAGTTCAGATTCATGCAACTCATTATCATCACATTCTGAATCCTCAACAACTTCATTATTATTTAATAGCGAGTTTGAGTTTATGTCTAGTAAGGGTGATTTGGTGAGAATTTGATCAGGAGGATCTGCTGGCTTTTGAGGGGTATGAACTTTATCTCCATTTTGTACGATCTTAGTGTCATTGTCCTCTACAGGAGCTCTATTGTCATCCATAGGTTCTCTATTGATCTTCTTGCTTGTAATATTATCGGTGGAACGAGAACTGGTTGGCATATTCTGAAGTTGTTGATTGTTGAGTGGAGGAGTATTATTCAAAGTTTTGATGGTTTGGTTAGCCTGACCAGAAATCACATTACTTTTTTGAAATTTTTCTTTGTTGCTTGTGTTTATGTCAAGTTGGATGGCATCAATGATTTTGCTCGCATGTTCGTGTTGGTCCTTGCATTGAGGATTAAGATGATGTTCTGGCTGATTTTGTTGAACTTGCCACTGTAAGTTTTTCTTGTTTCTATTTCTTCTTCTGGTCATCTGTTTGAATCCATCAGCATATGCTTCAGTTTGATCTTTGGTGCCCAAAGCTTGATCATTTTGCAGCTGATTAACATGATCATTTTGGTTCTCATGCCCAATGCCATTGCCCTTATTTTCTCTATGCTCATCCCTTTCCTTGTTTCTGCACTCATTCTGAGAATGACCTTGAAGTAGACAATATTGACAGTAGGAGGGGGCACCCTCATATTCAACGTCAAGCCAGTATCCATCTTCAACATTGGAGTCTAGCCTTTTGAATCCAACCCAAATTTGATCTTGTCTAGGCTTTAGCAAATCAATTTCGACCTTCAGCTTAGCGACATTACCCCTTGACTTAGAATATGTAGCCATGTCAGGGGCCATTGCGTTACCAATCGAGCTAACCATCTTAGAAAGAATATCCCATCTAAACAAATGCCAAGGCAACTGGTGTACCAAAATCCACACAGGTGCTAAAGATGTTTCAATTTCAGGTACAAAGTCAAGTGACCATTTGATAATCTTCATGCTATAAGGACCCAATGTGACAAATGATTTAAAATAGATGTGATAAAAATCTGATTCATTGTTGAAGTCTATATAAACATGATTTTGGTCGAAGTAAGCTATTTTGACCGTACCTTTCAAAGGGACATGGCTATTGAAGAGTTTTCTTAGTTCATCCATGTTTGGTTTCCCTTTTGTGAATTTCCCAACAATGGTAAAGCGACAATCTTCCGCAAGATTGACGAAATAGTCTTGAGCCGAGAAATACACCGCCGGCTTTCCCATATGTGTACCATGAGAAATATCAACTGGTTTTTCCCCCTGTAAGTTTGTCTTGAGATTTTCCGAGATAGTTGATGCATAGGAAGGCTTTGAGATAGTGCTCGAAGATGCATTATAAGGTTTAGAATTGGTATTTGAAGTGGAGGGATTGTGGTTTAAGTTATTATTATGTGATGACGGGTGTGATTTAGAATAGTTTGGTGTGGCATGACTATGAGTTGGATTGTTAGTTTCTACTGGGTTGGCATTGTTGGTCCTAATTTCTCCGTCAATGCGTTTTGCCTTGTCAAAATTTGAAGAAACCTTTGGAAATTGATAGTTATTTTTGGGTGGAATCCTCTGTTCTAATGGTTGCATAGGAGGAGTTGGAGCAGAGGGGTTATTTTGTTGATGGGTCTTATTTTTTATGTCTGATGAGTGGGTTTTCTTTGTGTGGGTATCAGTGGTGTCAATGGGATCTTTGTTGTGGTTGAGATCGGAAAATTGGACTATGTTCGGTGGATCCGGTGGAGCTGGTGGAGGGGGTGGCGTTTGGACCGCTAGTCCAACTAATTCTATCGTTGACATGTAGAGAGAAGGCAGAGAGAATTAGCTAGAGAGAGAAGATATTTAACAAAAATAACATGGATGAAGAGCTTCTTGGTGATAAAACTTCACATCTTAGTGCAATCAGGGTACTAATGCATCTTGCTAACAATTCTCGGCTAGATGTGTGTTTTGCAGTAAATTTACTGATAAGATTCGGTTTCTCCCCAACAAAAGGACATTGAAATGGTATTATATATATACTTGAATATCTTTGAAGGACCATAGACACGGGTTCATTCTATTCCGAAGAATTCAAGTCAGAGTTGATTGGTTACGCAGATGCAGAATATTTATTTGATCCGCATAAAGCACAATCTCAAACACACTATTTGTTTGCATATGGAGGCACAATAATATCCTGACGATCAATGAAACAAATGTTGCTATGCAGAAATAAAAGCCCTCCGTGAAGCAAGTCGAGAATGCGCCTGGTTGAGATAAATGACAGACCATATTCAAGAAATGTGTGGTTTTTCTTTGAAAAAAAATATACCAACCACAATGTACGAAGATTGGAGACATCATCGCAAAAAATTAACTGGTGTTTTAATCAGGGGAGTATAATATGCGTTGCACTCTTTTTTCCTTGACCGAGGTTTTATCCCACTGAGTTTTCCTGGCAAGGTTTTTAATGAAGCAACAAATAGTGCGTATCAAAAGATATGTGTATTCTTTTTCCTTCACTAGAATTTTTTCCCACTGAATTTTTCCTAGTAAAGTTTTTAACGAGGCACATTATCAATGGACATCCAAGGGGGAGTGTTATAAATCTATTGAATTAAGTGGATTGTCCATTAAACTTATCATAAACTTATCCTTATCATGAATATATATTTCCAAGGTGATATGAACCTTTTTGGGATAGAAATGTATCTAGTAATGTGACATTAAACATGATGATCTTTTATTTGATTTATCTAACTATAAATAGAGATATCATTCACCATTGTAACATATACTTAAATAAGAAGAAAGTCTTCTCCTACATCTACTTCTCTTGTCTTCTTCCTTTATATTTATATTATTCTGAGCTTAAATTTTATAACATTAATAAAATTTCACGTGATCTGAAGAGAATAGATTATTATCGAGAGACACTTAGCTAGCAAACACATATCAAAAGCAGAATTGAAAGGAAAGATACCATAAATAATAGAGAGCATTTAAAAAGAAAATAGAATTAAATGTCATTAAAGTAATGAGGATATAACAAGTTCCTAAAACTGACTTTCTTGTCGCACTATTTTTAAAACAAAAAAGAAGCACAACCAAGGAAAATGTGAAAAACATTAAAACTGGGGTGGGTGATGCCATGCTCCTATGCCCTCAACCGATAGAGATTGATGATTAAATTTTGGTCAAACTCCAAAGTATCCAACACAACAGAATACACACTACAAATTAGATTGACTTATTTTTAATATATAAAATAACTTTTACGTATTTGGATAAATTAATTTTTTTTATAACACATATTAAGATAAAAATATTAAAATTAAGCCAAATATTACAAGTTAAAGCTCATATTAATTTATTTCTTTAGTTCAATCATTAATTTTGATTTTTTAAAACATCAAAGACTGAATCTTTTTGCAATTAAAGGACTTGATGATGTTGGATTGAAATCCATATGTGTGTGAAGGGTGGGTACTTCATCTGTCTCTGCCGATTTTCCCTCATTCCCTCACCTTTATTAAAATAGTTTCCTCCTTTTTCTCCTTCTTCTTCTTTTTTTCAATGAATTAATCAAATACATAATCTTGATCTGATCTCATTTATTCATAAAGAAAGAACATTATTATTACTCTAATAACAATCCTTAATTAATCTGTAATTTTATACGATTTCGGATAGTAAAAGGATGAAGAAGGCGACGGTGGGTGCGGTGGTGGTAGGTACAGCGGCGGCGGTAGCTGTGGCGGCGCTCGTCATGCGCCACCGCATGGGTAAATCGAGCAAATGGGCACGTGCCAGGGCAATTCTGAAGGAATTCGAGGAGAAATGTGCCACCCCAGATGCCAAGCTGAAGCAAGTGGCTGATGCTATGACGGTGGAGATGCACGCCGGACTCGCCTCTGAAGGAGGCAGCAAGCTCAAGATGCTTATTAGCTATGTAGACAATCTCCCTACTGGGTTTGTTACTCCTCTCATTTCCTTTATTTATCTTTCTTCAAATAGAATTTTATGTATTTAAAAACTACAATACATCATAATCATTGGTTATGTTTGGTGTTAATTAAAGAAATGATTTCATTTGTTCGATTACGTTTTTTTTCTCATGGGTTATAGATGATGACGGACTGAAATGTTGTAAAAGGTTGATTCTTTATGATATAATTTGTATGTTTAAGCTTGGGAGTTATGCTATGTAGATACCGATTACCTGAATTTGTATTGCCGCGTTCATAAGACCCTCCCCTCTGGTCTTGTTTTGCGTGTTTTCGGTCTTCTAACTAGCTACTCAATCTAGAACAATGTTCGGAAAACTAAGTTTGTTGAATTTCATCCGTAGCATCAGAGCTGAATATGGTGCAGTGTATAGGTTGCTGCTCCAGTTCAAATGATCTTGTTTTGATTGTATTCCCGAGTCTAATTCATGTTGGATGTACTATATTATGATTATATGGTCTAAACTAATTTTTTTAATGATCAATGCATTGTACAACAATTCTTAATAAAGTTAGCACTGCCTAAAAGAGCAGTCCAACAAGCACAGAGAGAGGAGTGATTTAATTATATTCCATGTAATGACTTTACTATGTCATTGGTAAAGGTAAATATTTTAATATTTGTTTCTTTGGTAAATTTTGTATTTAGTGATGAAGCAGGAGTCTTTTATGCATTGGATCTTGGTGGAACGAATTTTCGAGTATTGCGGGTACAGTTGGGGGGAAAAGATGGTGGGATTATGCATCAAGAATTTGCGGAGGCATCAATTCCTCCAAATTTGATGGTTGGAACTTCAGAAGTAAGTTTTTGTCCGCTCAAAATGTTGCTCCCTGTTCTGTTATTTAGTTTTGCGTTGATTTTGAACTTTTGAATTTCATATGTTTCAGGCCCTTTTTGACTATATTGCGGCAGAACTTGCAAAATTCGTAGATGAAGAAGGAGAAAAATTTCATCCACCTCCTGGTAAGCAGAGAGAATTAGGCTTCACCTTCTCGTTCCCAATAATGCAGACTTCAATCAATTCTGGAACTCTTATCAGGTGGACGAAAGGTTTCTCCATTGATGACACGGTATCCATTTCCTTCCCAACTACATCTTCTTTGTTGCTTTTCTTAGGCAGTTGAAGTTTGATTTGTCAGAAAGACAACGTTGAGATAATTTCAGTTTGAATCACTCATATGCTTTTCCTGTTGACCTTTCTTTTGGTTAATGGGTTTGATGATAGAGCGTGACATCAACCATGCTTATCTTTTGATGCCACTGGTTTCTTGTTATTCGAAACATTGAATGTAATGTATTCTTTGATGGTACTCACATTGTTTCCAATAAAAGAGAAGTAATTTCAAGCAAGTTACAGCAGTTGATTTTACAGCAACTATCTTAATCTATTGTAATTTTATTCTCAGTTTTTTTTTTCTTCTTATATTTAATGAACTGAAAAATAAGCTCTCACAGTTACTGGATGACAGGTTGGCAAAGATGTTGTTGCAGAACTGACAAAAGCAATGCAAAAACGAGAAATTGATATGAGGGTGTCAGCGCTTGTAAGTTTGCTTGATGTTACTCAGTAATAACACTCTTTTTGAAGGGTGCTTGAATAAATTGTATGTATGTTGCCTAGCTTAGTTGTAAAAGTTTGATTTTGAGTTACTTGTTGATGAAAGGTGAATGATACTGTTGGAACATTGGCTGGTGGTAGATTCACGGATAAGGATGTATCCATTGCTGTGATATTAGGTACTGGGACAAATGCAGCATATGTGGAACGGGCTCAGGCAATTCCCAAATGGCACGGTCCTCTGCCTAACTCTGGAGAAATGGTTTGGGAACTTTTCAATGACTATTGATCTTGTTTCGATTCTATTTCACTTGTTTGGTGATCAACCGTGGAATAGTTGTTGAAGTCCTTTCATGTTACTTTCTAGGTGATCAATATGGAATGGGGTAACTTTAGGTCCTCCCATCTTCCCTTGACACAGTATGATAATGCTATGGATACCGATAGTTTAAATCCCGGTGAACAGGTAATTGCTTATCCACTTGTATACCTTTTGTTCAGTTAGGCTAATCTCGACTTCGCAATCAACTCGATAAACCTGAGAGAGATATCTATTTATCCTCACAGATATTTGAGAAGATATGTTCTGGTATGTACTTGGGAGAAATTTTACGCAGAGTTCTACTTAGAATGGCTAAAGAAGCTGGCATTTTTGGCGAGGAAGTTCCTCCAAAACTCAAGAATTCATTCATATTGAGGTATTTCTTACTAACTATAGAGTTATTAGTGATCATCTTGTGCAAAACACACTTGTTAAATGCCCAAAGAACTGCTAGGTAGTGTTTCTCGGGCCAACAAATTTGCCTACATTCTATTGCTGTTCTGGTTATCAGTTGATCAAGCTTGAGTATAGTAATATTTCTCATGCATTTATGAGTTTTCATTACATTTTTGGTGCTCTACATAATTGCTTTGGCCGCCATACACAACTCACACCTCATATCAAATTCATTGTCTGTTATGACTTGCTTGGTAACATGTTTCACTCTCCTATCCACTAGCCTATTGTTTATTTTTTGCTTTGGAGTTGCAATAAAAATAATTTCATCCAACAACTAATATGCTACTGAGGATACATACTTATTTACGTACCCCATAGTATTTGAGGATCAATCAACTCCAGATAATGGAATTTTGACAAGAAAAAGAGTACTGAACAATGAGAGTTATCGATATATGACCGTAGTTGAAGCAATTATAACTTGATTGTGTGAATTTCTAATTCTCAGGCTACTCAGTCTATAAAGAATGTGCTACATTATATCCCTTCTTTAATGACATCCTTTGCTGTTTTAGCAAATGTGCTACAGTCACACAATCAAGCTATAGTTGCTTTAACTAAGGTGATATTATTCAATCCAAAAGTTGAATAGTCGTTTGCTGTCCGCTTGATGTCTGTCATGTTTACGTTTTTATATTCGAGCAGATGCTCTCATAACAGTTGAAAAAAATATATGCAGGACACCTGAAATGTCTGCTATGCATCATGACACATCCTCTGATTTGAGAGTGGTTGGCGACAAGTTGAAGGATATCTTAGAGGTATTAGCTCTTCCCCTTTATCAATACCTCCCAAGGAAAAAAAGAGAAAGTTATGCCCTTTGATTTGGTGCGGCTATTATTCTTTCTACAAAAGTTTGCACAATATCATATTTGCTTTGGAGCAAATAGAGAAATTGTTTTAATTAGGACTGATGGCGACAAATCAAATTTAAATTTTGGATCTCAAGGAAGTGTAAATCAAACTGTTGATGTTTTTCTCCCTTACAGCAATTAGTTTTACTGTTAGGATTTGATATGATGATACAACCTGAATTGAAACTAGATATTCTGTTCATCCTATTTCAGATATCCAATACCTCCTTGAAGACAAGGAGATTAGTTGTTGAGCTGTGTAATATTGTTGCAACACGTGGCGCCAGACTTGCGGCAGCTGGTATCTTGGGCATTATCAAAAAGATGGGAAAGGATACACCGAGGGAAAGTGGTCCAGAAAAGATTGTGGTAGCCATGGATGGCGGATTGTATGAGCACTATACAGAATACAGCAAGTGCTTGGAAAACACATTGGTTGAATTGCTTGGAAAGGAAATGGCAACAAGCATTGTCTTCAAGCACGCGAATGATGGTTCTGGCATTGGCGCTGCACTCCTCGCGGCCTCCAACTCTGTGTATGTTGAAGACAAGTGAGAGTGATCAAAATGATATTTAGCTAGAGGAAACTCCATTTACCTTTTATATTATGTTTTTTCTCTAGCCTTTTCTTTTTTGTTCTTCTAACAATTATTTCCAGATTTATTATTCCTGGGAATGCCAACATATTTCTTCTGGAAAAGGGTGCAAAGAAATTATATGGAACTCAGCAAACTGCTAATTCTCCCCTTTGGTTTAGTTTTCCAACTGCAACTAAATTTTGTAGGGTTTAATAAAATGGTGTGCTTTTTCATTGCTAGACTTATCTGTTTAACTAACATGTTAGTTTAACCCGCAACCAAACATGGAGGGAGGATGCTTACTATCCAAGCAACTCTCTCGTATATGTTGTTGCTTCTTCCTTTCTTCTTTATGGGCCTATTTCAAATCGTTGATCTGCTAAAGCTCCATAAAAACATAAAAGGATAGAGTTACGTAAACCTCATTTCTATCTCTCAAGTGCATTCTTTATTAGTTTTGACTATTCTTTATTGGTGCTGTCCGTTTTGCTACATTTTCCATCTATACTCACAAAACAAAACATAAATTTATATAATTCACAAATTAATATCAAAGAGAAGATTTATTTGATAAATCGACATTTGATATGGCAACTTAAATCTAGAGGTGGAAAAAGTCTTTCACAGTTCATATACACATGGTAATTAATATAACTCAAATTCAATCATGATATATTAATTAGTCTGCATCAAACATCGAAGTAAACGATAGTGGGAGTTGTTATCAATTTATAGATAAATAAAAAAGACAGCGATTGATTAATGGCTGAACCAAATTTATCGTCTCATCTTCAAAAATAAAGTTATAATTTTGTGGTCCTTTTGGGGTCTTAAATATGGATGGATTTAGACAACTCTACTTTACTTTATCTTTTTTTAGAGTATGCACCAAAATATATATATTAATGTGTTAGTATTACTATTTAGGTTAATAAGATTAGATTACACGATTTTCAATCGTACGCCATCGAAAATTAATAACGAAAGATCAACTAATAATATCTTTAAGGTTTAAGCTTATACTTATAATAGATAATTGACCTGCCATTCTCTCTCTCTCTTTTTCTTAAAATTATTATAGAATAATATAAAAATACTTTTTTTTCTTTCAAATAGAAGTCCAAATCTACTACTATTATAAGTAAAATATAAGGGGTGATTGCAGTTCAATGAGATCTACAGTATCTGAACCAATTAAAGAAAGATTTTTTTTTGAAATTTGAAAAGATAAGCTCTTATCTTCCAAGTCTGAGAAATCGAGAGCTTCCACCATAACTAACTTACCATTTTTACCACCTGTAAATTAAAAGTTTATCAGTTCACAATTCTAGCCTTCTAAAATTAGTCTTAAAAATAATTTATAAATATTAGATTATATTTTAAAACTAATAAATTATTTTGACTAAACTTCAATTACCTAGATCTCTAATTTTAATCGAGATCCTAATGAATCGTTTGGTAGCGATAGTAAAAAATAATTTATGTATTAATTTCTCTATTTATATGTTCTCTGCGCAATAATAATTATTCATTATTGACTCGACATGTATCTTAATAAATAATAGATAGAATATATTGTATTAATCTTTGGATGTATTTCCTATCGTTTTTTACTTGTACATATTCTATAATAAATTTTTATTTTTAATTATAACTTTTAAAATATCAAAAAAGAAAATATTTTTCCATGTTTTTTTTACCCTCAATTGTAAATAATTATTCTCTAAATCAGTTTCCAGTACCTAATACTAAGAGTCTATTCAATATTGCTATTAAAATCTGCTTATTTTTAGAAGCGTTTTTCAAAAATAGCTTTTCAGTAAAGTATTTTTTAAATAAATAAATAAAAAATAATTTCTGTTTGACAAATTCATTTGAAAAGTGTACTTGATAAGTAGTTTGTGTTTGATTAAGTCTTTTAAAAAAAAATACTTTTTTTAGAGTCAAATTACGAAAAATGACAAGTATCAATGTGCTTTTAATATTAAATTTATTTTATAAAGATAATTTTAAACATCTAGTACAAAAAATGTTAATTACATTTTTAACTTAATTAATTAAAAAGTGCGTATCCAAATTTTTAATCAATCTTATTGAAAAATATTGAAAAGATGAATCATTTTGTTATTTGTTACCTATTTTTTGGATTCAATCTTAATTATTATCCTTTTTTTGTTATGATATTCTAAAAAATTAAAAATTCAAACCAAAATAAAATAATATAAAAATTAAGAAAAGAAAAATGTAGTAATTGTTAATTTTTGGGGGGAGGGTCTAAATCTTTTAACTGTTGCTTTTTCTCTTATAATCCTACAAAATTATTACTATTATTTTATTTTAATTTTGTAAAATAATACGAAAAATAGCATACACAATATAAAATAAAAATAATAAAATAAACCATATAAAATATTTAAAAAATATATATATTAGATATGGACTATTTAACAATAAATTGTTAAATAGACACCAACAAGTAAATTATTTCTTAATTTTCAAACTAAACAAGTATTATTGATAAATTATTTTTAATATAGTGAATAAGTGAAAATGAATAAATGGCTAGTTATTAAAGTTATCTATGTATAAACAAATGTAAGTATTGTTTGTAATTTAAAATCTCACGTAACCGATGCATTCATATGCAAGGGAAAATATATACTATTATTATTTTATATCGAGATAGACGATGTTTTTAACTATTACTAAAAAAATTAATAATTTATGGAGAATTTAGTTATTTTATTTATAATATATTATGTAAATGCATTTAATTTATATATATGTATTAGTAAGGCAAAATTTGTAAAGCATAAATAATCTCATATTAATTTCATGTAGATTTTACACAAATTTTATAATACTAAAAGTTAATTACGAGAAAGGGTATGTTGCAGGGGAATCTGGTCCAGTTAATTAATCGGGTTTTAGAGAACACGGTCCAAGTCGAAGTCGGTTTCAGACTACTATCCGGCCCTAGCTAAATGATTTGATTTTTCAACGAAAGATGGATTTAGCATCAGATCTTGGAGAAGAATAAGATCACAAAGCACAATAATATTCTTTTTTAAATTATAACTTTTTTTAAAATTTAATAAAATTGAATCCATTTTAAAACATCATGATATATCACATTTCAATTTGAATACATCCTTCAACATATAATATATCGTGTTTTAATTTTAAATATATTATTCGATAATACATCACGTATATCTTGATACATCAAGTAAAATGATACATCCTACAACACATAAAATAACGTCTCGATACATTATATGTATTTATATACATCATGTTAAGTAATGTTTCCAACTTGTGTATCACGTAGAGTAAAATATCCAATCTATACGATGCATAAGTGATGTATCCGATTTATACATGGCATAAAATAATGTATTCTACTAACTACATAAAGTAGAAACTTGTGTAATTTTTTGGAGAATTTTATGAAATATAGTGAAATACGTTATGTATTTAGATATTTTTTTTCCTGGGTGAATAATATACATTTTAATGAGCTGCTATATGTGGCTTCAAAACGAGCTACAAAACAACCCCTAATACCATAGGCTGCTGCTTAATTCAAAATCCCCGGATTTGTAGGAAATTTGAAAAAATAAAACTCCTCTATATACCACCTCAAAACAATTAACCAATTAATTATGTCCAATTAATTTGAGTGATTATATAATTGTTTTCACACTTATATATATTTTTACTCCTCGTCTTCCAAAAATATACTTAAAAGATAACAGAGAGATCTGCTTTCTCCCCACCATTTCCTCTGTTTTTTTTTTCAATGGCAGAGTTTTCTGAACAAATCGTTTTAAGTCAATGAAAAAATCAGCTGCTTATACGGAGACCCATATCGGAAGGATCTTTTTTCTATTAACACCTATTTTGGCTCGTACACTACTCAAGTGATCGAATTTCAAGCTATCATTTTTGGTAAGTGCTTTTAATGATGGTAGTGAAAAAAAAAGATTAATTCATTTTTGGGTCTGTTTGCAAATCCTGTTTTGGATGTTTCTTTTTAAAAGCTCAAGAAGAAGAAAGCCTCATAATGGGTCTCTGTTATATCCACAACAAATTCACGGGGGTTGTGTCAGCCGCTGAAAAATTTGGTGGTGGGGTTTAATGGGGGTGATGTATTTCTTCATTTTTATTTTATTTCACGTTGCTCCAGAAAGTTAAAGAGAGAGAGAGTAAAGTATCTTTGAGATTATTAAGGTAAAAAAAGTGAAGAAAGTTTGGTTCTTTTTTTTTAAAAAAAAATAATCTTTAATACAGTGGGCTATGGAGAAATTAACAAGATTTTTTTTTGGAAGTTTCATGCATTTTCGGTGATTATTACTACTTTTTGCAGTTTTGATGATTTTGTCTGTTAAATTTGAGTTTATTTTGACCAAGAAATGGGGTTGGGGGTGCAGGTAAATGATTATGCTTTATGTAAGTTACTTGAGTTTCTTACTGGTGGAAGTTATAATACCTTATTTGAACTGCAGGAGGAGGCAATAGTTTGAATCAATTTAAAATATTGTAGTTCAAACTTTATTCAATGTTTTTTTTTTAATTTTTGGGTCTGTAGTTTATTGTTTGTTTGGTGGTGAAGTTTCATTCAATCTTTTTTGCCCCCATTATATAAATATATTTTTTAAAAACATATTTCTTGCTGCCACGCCTTTTTGTCTTGTTTCTCAGTTCTTCACGAGGTTGTGTCAGTATGAAATTTTTTCCCCAAAAAAAATAAAAATCCAATCTTTAACCCAAGTATTAATTATTATATACTGTTTGATACCTTTTATTATTAACTTTTTCCTCCACACTGCAATGTTCTGTTCTCATCACTTCGTTGCTCGCAACATGTAAAGTTTCTGTCTATTTACTCCTATATATCTCTCTTTTATCACATTTATTTTCTTAAGTTTGTAGAGAATGGGGAAAGCTTCAAGATGGTTCAAAGGGTTGCTTGGGATGAAGAAAGACAAAGAAAATGTAGACAATATGTCGAATTCTTCCGATAAGAGAGATAAGAAAAGATGGAGTTTTGGTAAATCGTCTAAAGAATCCATCGGTGTTGGTGACAATCCGGTGAACTTTCCGGGAGGCGTGCCGGCGGTGGATTCTAATTGGCTGAGATCTTATATTTCT